GCCACATTTTGACGCAGTCTTCATTGAATGACACTATGTCGAAAGCTGCAGCTTCTACAAGAAATAAACTATTTGTGTAGATGACATTACCCCCCAACTACCCCATCTTCTTCATTCTAGAGATGTTTTGACGCATTCAGCATGAAACACTAATCATTACAACCAATATGCTAAGTGTGTCGCAGTCAGATTAAATGACGCGGACACCAACATAACTAGCCAGGAAATGAGAATTACTATCAATCCAGAAAACATATAACAAAATTTTATTAAAAATTATTGACAAAAAAAATTTGCCAAGCGAAATTTCAACCAACATGCCGGATAAGTCCAGCCAACATATCTCCAAACAAGTGTCAAAGTCACGCAAACTTATCGGCTTTCTACTCAGGAACTTCTACAGAAATGAGTCTAGAATTCTGTTGTACAAGGTTTGTGTGTCCTCTATTTGATTACTGTTCATTCATGTATAGTAGCATACACATAGAGGACAAATTGAAAGTCGAGGGAGTGCAGAGGTACTTCACGTTAAAATTACTCGGAACTGAAAATGGTACGAACTACTCCACTAGATGTGATACCCTAGGACTAGAAACACTATGGCTAAGACGCCTGAGACTAGACTTGACACTTTACTATAAGCTTCTAAACCACTTAGTTTTTACCTCTACTAATGGCACTCGACTTTCAGATGACAATGGTTACAAACTAAGACACACTAAGGGTACAGTAGCTATCGAACAATGTAAAACAGCCACCAGGCAAAAGTTTTACTTGATTAGTTATGCACAGATATGGAATAAACTACCAATGGAAATGCGTCAAGCAAGTACATTGGCCTCCTTCAAAAAGGTGCTTAATGACAAACTACAAGAGTTTGCAAGCGACAGTAGTTCTAGTTTCTATCTGAGAGCCTCCGAAATTATAGGTCCATTTAATGTATAAGCTTAAATACTACACCTGTTGTTTTTTGCCTATATTTATAATTCTAGATAAAACATTAACGGTTAACATACGTATCCTCAAACAGACAAGAAATCTCGTTTGTAAAACTACTACCCAACACTATAAGTGGAATAAAATGGACATAAACCGACAACATGAAAAAGGTATAACTCACCACAACATCACAAGGACAGATGAACGCTCGTTGGGCACCATATATCCCTCACCAACTGCAACCCACCTTTCCTTAGATAATGTGATGAACTTATATTCATAATGTTGCTGAGCAGTTAATATTCTCAACTCCTGTCAGAACAGCTGAAAATCATAAACCTTCCTAACGCTAAGAAAATACCCACAAGCAGTAGAAATCCATTAATTAATGCGTCCGAAGCTTATGTACTTACTCCCAACAATGACATTGAAGATCAAATGAGATAAACACATCACTGATTTCAAAATAACACATCAATGAACTATAATTCGAGGACTCTGCACACAACAAAGTTATGTATGAATATTTACTTCAAGCTTAATTTTTTTCCCAGGCACTTATAATCCATCCACCAAAGACCTGGTTTTTTGTTAATTCGAAGACAATACTCCTGTATTTCCTGTTGTGTTGCACTCACTGACAATCTAGCAGATTTTTCCAACTTAGCACAGAAATGATTGTATATAAGTGAAAAGGCTGTTTTATACTACTGGGATTAACATTTATCAAGTGTATGTATAATCTCCAGCGAACATGTAAAGCATATCTTGCTACTACCTGTAAATTGTGATTGAATTATATGGTTCTATTTCTGTAACAATTTGATGATGCCTGTAAACTGGCGTCCCTCATGCACTGTACTATGAGAATAAATTTATTTATTTATTTAGTTATTAGTATCTCCCTATTAAATTCAACCTAGCCCTAACCTGTCACTTGCTAAAAACTCAACCTAACGCAGACCTAATGAGATATTCTGTTCGAGGTCATCACGCTTCACTAAATCTCTTTACATTCACAGGTCATAGTGTGTAATTTACGGCTGAAATTATCCCGCATGCTCAAGGTCATTGATGAAGTGAGACGCTCAAAGGTCATTTTCGTCCATGTTAGTCGGTTATGTTGGATTGCAGTTCCGTAGCCGTTCGTTTACACATTGGCTTTACGTTCTGTTGGCATTTATAGGTGATTCCCATGTACTGATAGCATTCTTTTGTAAAATAGTACTGTTCTTCACACGAAAATAGCCACATTTTGACGCAGTCTTCATTGAATGACACTATGTCGAAAGCTGCAGCTTCTACAAGAAATAAACTATTTGTGTAGATGACATTACCCCCCAACTACCCCATCTTCTTCATTCTAGAGATGTTTTGACGCATTCAGCATGAAACACTAATCATTACAACCAATATGTGTGCGTCGGTGGCACAGTGGTTAGGACTCTCGCCGACCATGCACGTGGTCCGAGGTTCGATCCCCTGCCGGCGCACACCCGATATCTATGGTTGGCCTGAATTTGGGCTACCGATATCCATGCTGAAAATTCCATACTTGTACTGAAAATACGGTGTGGAATCAAGCTGTAAATCAAAATCAAAATAAAATAAAAAATAAAATATGCTAAGTGTGTCGCAGTCAGATTAAATGACGCGGACACCAACATAACTAGCCAGGAAATGAGAATTCCTATCAATCCAGAAAACATATAACAAAATTTTATTAAAAATTATTGACAAAAAAAATTGGCCGATCGAAATTTCAACCAACATGCCGGATAAGTCCACCCTAATTTACCTGTTTTCAGAGCTTCACACTGACTGAGCAATCCAAGGTCATTGGTGATTTCGCGCGTGTCGGACATGGAAGGCTTAACTTCGCCGGAACCATGTATTATTTCTGTTCTACTTTAATAGCGACTTCATCCAGTGCAGCATAATTGTTTAGTTGACCTTTATTCATTCAGTATCTAATTTAGCGGGTTCGATGAAAACGGTTTTGACCATTGTGTTGTGACCTTGACGTTTATTTCAGTAGGTTTGCGAGGACTTCTTGCGGGCTTGCAAACAATGCTTTGATTTACAAATTTGTTCTGAAAAATAGTTAGTCCAATTTATGTAAGTGAGTTACACGAGGATGGGAAGTTTTTTCATCTAGTTTTGAATGTGTTGTTTCCTCTGTGTTTTGACTAGCATATCATCCTTTTAAATTGATAAATCTCACTTTATAATTGTGAAGCTTGTTTCCGATTGCTTTTACAACGTCACTAGGTAGGTTATCCGCGTGGATTGTGATGTATTATATTAAATTTCATATAACTGGAATTGTATAAAATTCCAGTATATACATTGCAAGTCAGTGGTTATTAGCAGTTCGTATTTGTCTTTCCTAAACCTTATTTTATTAACGTAAATTCAGAAAACTTACACAGGTTTTGTGTGATCAGCCGCTGGAGTCTAATTCTGTTAGATGCTTTCTTAGCTGAGACGCATTGTAGTTCTGTACATATAAGCAGTGCTCAACAAGATACTTTTACTATTTGGGTTTGCAGCAGTCAATGCATTGAAGCCATACACTGGCACCTGTACCTCATAGTTTGACGATGACAATTCTGTATCATGTACTGAAGTAATGCCTCAATACTCCAAAGTTAGTTTAGCGTCCCTCTTCGACACTTGCACCGACGTACTTCGGTTTGTAAAGCAATAAACAAAATATGTAACTTGTTCAGTGTTCTTGTGCTTTTTTGTGTGATCTTGTATTAGATAGTGGTTTGAATTTTTAACCTGCAAATTGATATTTAAAGATAGTACATATTTAGTGTTCGCTGTTGGAATTAGTTCTGCTTACAGATATTTTCAATTGAAGCTTACCTTATCATTCATCTATCGTAAAAGGTTTCACTTGCTTAATGCCTTTTTGGATATAAGTATATGTACTCGGCCAGGATATAATGTCTACTGATGGAAAGTCAATATGTAAAGCTTGTGTCGATCCTTAGACGATAGTAGGCGGTATGACAGCTGCAACAGATAGTTTCACGTGAAGTGTACTTTATTTAGTTGCACAAATATGTAGGTTGTTGAAATGTACAGTCTCTATGTCATTCTTTTTTCGCTAAAAAACGTTTAGCCTTAAGATTCTTATTACTTTTTCTTTACGGTGTCTATTATTGAAGAAGGTAACTTTCCACACGTTGGCTATGCTGTCGGAATATTACCATTGCCTTGGATTACGGGTGAAACATGGGGCTTCAACAGCATATCTTAATTTCATCCTGTTCTCTGCAGTCCTTTTTAGCTGACTCCACGATTGCCCATAAACTTTCATCCCCGCACTATCTCCTCCATGTCACTGACGCCCTGCTCGTACATTGGTAAATCCAATTAATGTTTTACAAGAGATATAGGTGGGGCGCAGTGGATCCATGTTAAACTGAAGCATAATTATAAACAGGTCAAATAGCTGAGATTCGTACAACTTACTTTGAGGATGCAATTTTCAAATATATCACGTTTGGTTTACTTCAGTCCAGAGCTTCTACACAGTACATAAACTTGTGTCGGTTCGCTATGTTTCATCTTCATTTTACTATACTTAATTAATTGATAGTCATTTCTTAAATCGGCTAACTTGTTTAGTTTTGGAAGTTCTTATTGGAGTGTTTTTCTTGGTCATGATTACTATTCGCTAATTGTTTTTTACTGGTGCATTTGAACTGCCGTTCTTGGAGGTTAGTGACATCTACTTACCTTTTTCTTTATATCCGTGTCACGTTCTTCACAAATACTTCGATCATCTCTAGTTAGAGTTTTTAGTGATAAAGCATTCTAATTCATTTCTGAAGTATCTAAAATTGTGTGACATAATATATGGAATACCCCAATAGAAAAATTCCAATGGTTTGACTAATGAATACAGTTTAACCTATTTTATTATTTGATATTAGCAACCTTGTATTAAACCTGCCAATTTACATCTCTTTTAGATTGGCTTTTTGTTTAGCCTTTAAACCAGAAGATTCACCTAACTGAGTAAAATTCGGCAAAAGTCAGAAATCATGTCTGGTACTCAAATTAAGACGAATGAACCACAATATGAAAATTGGTTGGGTGCTCATTCATCAAAGAACGATAAACATCATCCGTCTGTTAAAACGTCCTTTCCAGATGTTAATTTTCCACGTGGTTTACAGCTTTCTGCTCGACGTGGACCTGAAGTTGAATTATACGATGTGGCTGGCGTTCATTTACTGTGTCCACCGGATTCTCAACCCAACAACCGGGGTAGTGGACATATTTGGTCTAAATTGTGCCTATTGAAATCGTATTTTCATTTTAAAGGAAGAAATACTTTGTCACCAACAGATGACTCACCAATTATTTTGTCAAATAAAAGTACGAACTTCAAGTCAAATGCATTTAATGAATTCAGTCCCAGCCATTTGCCTACTAAGGCGACACAGTACCCATCGTCATCAAATAATAATCAGACACAAACACAAACACATGGTGTTTTGTTATCCTCATCATATTCATCTTCAAGTCGTCATCTTGTTAAACAACGAACACATATTTCTAATATAATTGGTCGGTTATTCAACTGGTTCACTCTAAACTCATCTAATCATGATCTTGATCATTATAGCCACCCTTATCTGTCACCAAAAGTTTATCGGTACTATAAGAATTACTTCATTTTAAAATACCGCCAAGCTGAAATCAATGTGTTCATTTTTCTTAATTTGATTGTTTGCATTTTCTTTATGTTGACCCTATCGCTATATCCAAGTGACTCATCTTCTTCAAATTCTTTTGATTTACCGACCGACCACAATAGTGGCCACAATACACCAACTCTTCAACACTCTTATATCCTTCCTAATTTGCATTTAACCCATCCAAATTTAATACGTCTAATCCTACTAACTAGTTCATCGGTCTTGCTTCTGCTCAGTAGCTTTTTTGCTAACTTACCTTGCATTTCATCGAATCTACGAGCTGAAAATTCACTGTCAAGTAAATCTTCGTGGAAAACAAAGGTAGCCGGCAAATCTGTATATAACAATGACAATACTACTGACTATGAAGGTCAAAATAAATCACGTGAGTGTGATACACAAGAGATAGTGAATTTGATATTGGCCCAAAAATTACGTAGAAATCTTCGCTGGGCATATGGACTAAGTTATGTGGCGTGTATACTTATTATTTTAGCTAATTTACCCTGGTTCAAATCTTATCAAATCTCATCAAATTCATATATAAATCATCCATTTGTTCAACAGTTTAATTGTAATTCTCCTGTGGCATACAAAAGTAAGTTTGTATTAAAGCTAATTTTATCAGATACTATTTCTTGTTTGTAAACCTAGTAATATACGCCCAAACGTAATCTTTACTGAAGGTGTACTAACCTTAGATTGCAGTGTGAAGATTTTGTGTCATTGATTTTCATATTTAAGATGTACATTCTAGGTACTACACTACATAGCATTTCTTACTATCAATTAAAGGGATTATGAATTTGCTGTATAAGTCAATAAACTTTACTTTAGAAAATAGTTGCTTACACACATTTGCCTACATTGTTAAACTAAAAGCCCTATCTGTTACTCTCTGGTTAACAACAAGTATTGATTACCAACAGTGCAGATAAGTAGGATTTAGGTGTGTTGACTGTCGTGCATTTGGATTAGTTTGACTCACAATCTTATCAATAGCAATATAGGTTCGAACCAAGTTAAGATTTAGTAGTTCGAAAATATCCGAGTATTGAGTGTGTGATATTCAGTATTACACACTTTTTTCATGTGTTTCCCAAAGAATGAAAAACAAAAATCGTGTTGTTTCTTACTATTACTAAGCTGCTTACTGATGCTAATAGCTTTATCAAAGTAATAGTAAATCAGAATTTACAAAATCTTACCTTATAAGCAATGATTTAATCATATATCTTTGGCATAAGGTTATAATTTGAAAATATTAAAACAAAATTTTACCATCAGGCAGTTGGATTCGCCCAGCTGTAAGAAATAAATGTATAGTGATGGTTGATAGTCGTAGGTATATGGGATTATTTAACTTGAGCTTTAATTTTATGCCAGTGTTGATTAAACCGTTCTAGTTGGACGAGTAGTAAGAAGAGGTTATGGATTTTTTAGAATTTATTTTTAAAGATATTGTTCAGAAACATTAATAAACAGCTTTGTGGGCAATAAAGTTATATCATTAGTGAAAGTCAAGATAACAGTAAAACTGTCACCTGATTCTTTATAACTCTTTGTATAATATTGCGCTACTTTTGTTGTATGAGAATTTTAAATTACGTTGTAGATATCTGCATTTCTGATTGTTTTAACCCCATTGTAACATTAAGAACATAATATCCGACGAAAAGACTTTTCAACGAATTTATTGTCAAGGTGTACAATCGTCTATATATATATATATATATATATATATATATATATATATGAAATGCGTTAAAATGCTTGTGATTTTAATCATAGTTCAATATCAAGAGGTAAAAGGGATGTAGAATCAATGGGATTAATAAGCAAATGAAACAGTTTGAGCAGTTTGATAAAATAAATTTTAACACTGCAAAAAATGTATTGATCTAAAATAATAAATGTAGTAAGTAAAATAATACCAGAAACTTTGAAAAATAATAACAATCGTAATGATAAGGGAAGAGTATATAGATTAAATGAAGAAAACGAAAAATAAATGTTCGTTCTTCTGCGGGTATGGTAGAAATGGGGATTGTACATGCTTGTTTTGTACAAAATGGTCTCTTGAATTCATGAATAGACGATGGTCTCTGTTGTCTATAGAAGTTCAGAAGGAAGGAAGAAAACACGGCAAGTGAGCATGAATTCAATAGGTGATCTTAAAGTCTCGGTGGGGGTTGGTAAAGTGATAGAAGCCGATGGAGTATTCTGGAATAGAGTTTCTAACACTGTTCCTTTCTTCACTGTAAAACCATGCGGAAATGTTCCGTCTTATCTGTATAGAAAGCATTCTCTGGTTACGGCCTATGTATCTTGCTCCACAAGACCAGGTGTACTGGTAAATGCATATGGAGGCGGTTAGACGAGGGAATTTATGTTTCACTGGGACACAGATCAACTTGCGGCTGGTGAAGATCAATTGGAGTTTATCTGCAAAGAGTGTCTTACCGACTGGTTTAGAAAGACGACTTTTAGGCATGCCCGAAGCCTGATCACCATGAAGATAGTTTTCTTTGGAATTGAGTTAGTGACTAGTTTAACATGTTTATTTTTATTTTGTTTGTGTCAACAAATCTGTTTGGATAACTTTTCAGCAAACGTGGCTTTTCAAAAAGACAGTTCTGCGCCTACACAGTTAAAACTTTAATATTTCTTATCTTATAGCAGAGGTAATGAATCAAATTTCTTGTAAGAGATCCATTATTGCCTCTAGTAAGGCACATATCAGTTAAGGAACTGCTTAGTTCAGATTCCTTTTCTATGACAAGTTGTAAGGAAAGATGTCAGTTGTTGTATGCTAGCGAAATATCATCAAGTACTACGTCCTTATCGTAGATAATGAAAGTATCATCTACATATCTTCTATAAATATCTGAGCAACCAGTTATTTGACTAAGCTGAGTGTTTTCCAGTTTTGCCATAAAATAATCAGCGCTGTCAGTGGTGAATCCAGTAGTATAGTCCTAGTGCAATGCCATCTTTCTATCTATAAATCTCACTATGGAAGCTAAACTCAATGTTCAATATGAATCTAAATAAAAGTCTTTTGGAGTAATAATCAGTGTACTTAAATATACCGAACAGTCTATGATAAAAGAAATAACATCGTGTGTGAATTGGTTTTTCTATACAACTTGAAAAATTAATCAATTATTTCGTTGATAAATGGATAGATAGAAACATGTTGGAGAATGAAATATATATATATACATATATACGTGTATATATGTATATATATATATGTATATATATATATATATAAATACATATATATTAGTAGACACAAGGACTATGATGACTAACATTTCAGTATAATGTTGTCATGTGATATATTTGTGTATGTAGTAGGAAGGGCAAATTTAATTGTGCTTACGTGGCTGTAAAAAATTTTCCGTATTTTGATACAAAGTTTTTCTCGACTATTTAAATATTTTATTACAGTAAATATTTACTCACTTTTCATTTCTGATAAAAAGTATGGAACTTTGTTCAGTTTTACATGTAGTGATAGAAAGTGTGAAGCAATAATCAGGTTTTCAAATGTCAGTTTATAGGGATTTGGTTGGTTTCAAACTGGTCATGGGTTGGTATCTGTTAGAGAACCATTAGAAACTGACAGGGAGTACTTGGCAGCTGTTTCATACTAGTTTGTGACTCTTCGTCAGTACGTATCCATGACCGCACCACAAGGGATTGAACCCAGGATCTTCTGCTTACGCATCAAACCCATTGACCTGGTTTTCAACGGTTCTCTACCTAATATCAATCCGTGGCCAAACGCAGAACCCATCAAATCCTTACTAACACTCAAAACTTTATCTTGTGCTCACTAGTGACTGAAACTGAGATGACGTTTGATTACGGATTGATATCAGATCCGGGTATAGCTGAAGAAATACTAGCGATCCAAAAATATAAGCCAATGCTATGTATTCAAAAGTACAGTGTTCAGTCTTTGTTTTTACTATAGCCATCACAAATAGTAAGTTTTCTCAATAATTATTCGATTACATTATCTTATCCTAACTTCCTGTTTATTTTTTCTTATTATTACATTTTTAATCCCTATTTGCAATCTGGTTATTTGTTACAATTTGGCCGTCGATCGGAAATAGTTCCGGAACTTTCTCACTCATTTGCTATGTATGCACGAATGTACAGCCTAGTAGATGATTTCATCGCCGAGAAAATATTCTTCTCTGCAAACGTCCTTTTAAATTTCAGTCTTTGTAATTTATTATCATTATTCTCCTTTGTATCAAATTGTTTTTATTTGTCTGCTTTTATCACTTACTGTCATCATTTATTGTTTGTTGTTTTTCCTGCAGTTGTCACTTTATTAGTGTTATTTCTAACTTATTGATTTCTTCATATATTCTTTTGCTGGTCTGTACAGTGTTAGCCAACACTTAGGTCTCGCTGTATTTTGTAGCTGTGTAACAAATCCTTTTTCTCTGTCTGTTGACCACACACGATTATTCTCCACATGTGTGATTATTTATCACAGAAGGTAAAAAGCCTTTATTAATTATTATTATTGAATTGCAGTTATTTGTTTGTAATCATAAGGTGACATCAAGAAAAACTGGACTGCACCTAAACTAAACAGCTTTCTGAACTTGGCTGTTGTTGGCTGTTAAACTGACTGCGCCAAAAAGTTAAATCGTCTGTCGTACATCATGTTATCATTCATAGCTTGTATTATTGAAAATGTTCACTGTCAGTCTGTACTGGAAATTCTTTCTTTTTCTTTTTATAATAGTTTACTTTTATCTCTGTCGGTTGTTGTCTGTTTCATTATCCATTACAATTTTGTTGGCTTTCTGTCATCACCATTCCATATTGGTACGACAAACCATCATCTTCGTCGTTGACCGGTATTAGCTGACGTAAGATGAGGTTGCAAAAGAGTCATCGAGTTGGTAATCAAAATCTGTCATCAGTGCATGATGACTTCAACTGCTGGTGTGTGAACTAAGTAGAGACGTGTGAATTGTCTGGTTGGTTGGCTTCCTCGAGACGCTAAAAACTAGTTTTTAGAGACGGTTGGTGGTATGGCGGGAAATTGTACTTGATTGTGATGCAGATGCATTCACTCACTATGAACTCCCAGATCCATCGAATTATCAGTATTATTCTCCATGCAATTATTATTCATCCTTTCGTACATTTCCATTCATTGCGATTTCTTATGCATATTTTCGTTAGACTTCTGTGTGTTTTATCGAGTGTGGCTACGTGAACTGCTGCACTTTTATGCAGAATTCTGCGTTGAAAACACAGTCAGTCAGCCATTGGACATATTTATCATTGTTAGAATCACGAAACATTTAAATGATCAGGTAATCTGCTGCCGTGTACTGGTAATGTACTAAAGTAGACAAATATTCTGATTTTAACTTTCATAAACTATGATCGTAGTGGAAAACTGAAATAGCATTCATTATTGTGTGATGATAGAGTTAAGAGTAGTTAGACTAAAGTGTAGAACTGATTGATGAAGTATCAGTGACTATTGGTATAAGCCTTTTAAAAAGTATCGGTAATCTGTTTGGGAATCCCTGTAATAATGCTAAGAAAGAT